ACAAGGGTCATAAAAGGTCTTAAGTCAGACATGGTGGCACATTCCCATAATTCTTAGAAGGCTCAGGCAGGAGGATCTTAAATTCAAGGCCAGCCTAGGCAGTTTGGTTAAACTTATCTCAAAGGGGCAAAAAGCTGGGCTTGCTCTGATCAGTTCTGTCTCCCACGGCTTCTGCGCCTGTATACCACATCATGATAAGAACTACTAGAACCTAAATTCTCTAGCAGGCTCCTAAGAGAAATTTTTTAGTCAAACCAAAAAAAGCAAAAATTCTTTATCAAGAATTTATACTGACATACAATAATCACTTGTTGGTCTTTTCTAGACCAACCAGCTCTAGTCACTTTCATCAGTTTTCCATCTGCCTCATCTGCCTTGACCATGATTAATCTCCTAATGAAACTGTTGCATTAGCAGACTAATTAGTCAGGTTCTTACAGTTTAATCTAGGCAGCACCAATTGCATCCACAGCCTTAGACCTGATATAATGGCAAAAACGTTGCTAGTAAGTCAATGTCTGAAGAACTGCTTCTCCAAAAGACAATGGCAGCAAATAGAATTGCCACCATGATGAATTTCTTGCCAAAGTAACAAATTCTAATAGAAAATAAGTTTCATTATTTCCAGCTTTAACAATCCAGAACACCAGGCCAAGGTAGCACAAGTCTGTAAATCCAGCTACTCAAGAGGTTAAAGCAGGTTCTCCAGTTCAAAACCAGCCTAGGCAAGTTAAAGAGACCTGTCTCAAAATTACAGATTAGGGCTGGGGGTTAGCTCAGTGGTTAAAGTGCCTGCCAGGCAAGTGCCAGGTCATGAGTTCGATCCCCAGTACCCCCCCCCAAAAAAATCACAGATTAAAAGGGTTAAGGATATAGTTCTATAGTAGAGTGCCCCTTACACTTGAGACTCAGTGCCATTAAAATTAATTAAAATAAAAGTCTAAGAGAGATACATTGGTGTATGCCTACTGTAATCCCAGCATTCTGGGAAGCTGAGGCAGGAGGATCACAAGTTTGAGCCCAGCCTGGGCAACTTAGCAAAACCTTGTCTGTCTCCAAACATAAAGTAAAAAAGGGAAGAGGATATAGCTCAGTGTGAAGACCCTGGGTTCAACTTGCAGTACCTCAAAAAATTAAAGTCTAAAACAATTCTGTCCAACAGAAAATTTTATAACGATGGAAGCATTCTATATCTACACTATCCATACAGTAGCCTCTTGCTACATATAGCTCCTGAATACTTGGAGTTTGACTAGTATGGAGGAGCTAAATTTTTAACAAACAGCAAGTAAGGCTAGTGACGATTAAACTGAACACTGCAGATCTACAATTTATCCCTCCTTCTATATCTGTTGACCACATTATGTTGCAGAGATACAGACAGAGACAATGTTCTACCACTGAGCTTACACACACACACACACACACACACACACACAACACACAAACACACACACCCCACACACACAGAGAGAGATTTTTTATTTATTTATTTACTTAAATATCTGGACAGGGTCTCAGCAAGTTGCTCAGATTGGCCTCCAATTTATGATCTGCCTGCCTTAGCCCCCAAGGTAGCTGTTGAAGTTGGGCACAGTACAGCCTTAAAAAAAGGTAATATGGAAATGATTAGGGCAGAATTATTTACTATCCAATTTATAACAGAATTATTTACTATCCAATTTATAACAACAATTATGAATAGTTGCATCGACTATTATCAGACTATACCACCACCCTGAAAATGCAGTCACTTATTTCTTCAAACACTATTAATCTGCCCACACTGTATCAGGCCTGAGGGTTGGAAGATACAAACATGAATAAGACTGACCCCATTCATAGTGAGACCCTATCTCAAAAAGACAAAAAAAAAAACTGATCCAATTATCAGAGAATGACTGTCTAAAGAGGTACAGAACATGCTAAAATGATTACAAAGCCCAACGATGTAAATATACTTAACGCCACTGCATTCTACCCTTAAAAACACTTAAAATGGGAAATTTTATGATGTACATTTTACCACAAGCATATATACTTTTTTTAAAAAGACTGCAGCATAGTAAAAAGATCAACATTTTAAAAAATTAACTATGGGGATATACTGAAGTAATAGTAAGTGCATACAGTTTTGTTTGTTTGTTTGCTTTGAGACAGGATCTTGCTAGGCAGTTCAGGCTGTCCCTAAGCTCACTTTGTAGCCCAGATTACACGTGTGTGTGTGTGTGTGTGTGTGTGTGTGTGTGTGTGTGTGTGTACGCGCGTGCACACTGCCACCTGGGGACCATACTCTTTTACATCAGAATAGGTTTGAATCCTGGCACCTACTGTTAATTGTGTTGGCTCAGAAAGTGACTTCACTTCTAAGCCAATTTCCTCATCTGTAGCCTGTTGTGAACATTCTATGGCAGGACCCACTTAAGTCAGTGAAAAAGCTCAAAACTGCTATCATCAACATTAGATAAGTGATCATGGAGACCTGGATAGAGGAAAAAGACAGGTCCAGGCTGTTTTGAGAAACATATTCAGAGGAAGCAGCACATGAAATGAACAGAGGGCAGAAGTAGAATGTTATCTGATTTGACTAGGCCCCCAACAGAGGGCCACATTTTAAAGACCTGTAACTGTCACACATGAAGAGTTTCTTTGGCCTACACATAATAGTCTCTAAAACCATAAATACACACCTAGGAAATCTTATCTATCCAGCCCAACTCTACTAAAAGTCATTATAAATAAATAAGTTTATTTTTTAAAAAGAACTTTGTTGCAGCACCCAACATACACATGGCAACCCATCCAAACCTCTGAAATTCTTCCCAATTATTAGAGCTCCTCTCTTAACTCCATCTATTTTCCAAACTGGTTCAGGTACAATGAATGGCTTGAGCAGAAGCTGAGAAGAAACACAATTTCTTTTTTGTTTTTCCTGTAACAACGAATTAGCTGATCAGACCACAATCTGTGGTACAACATGGTTTTTTGCAGTTTACAAGATAGTGCCAGACCCAAGCAGATTCAGGACCACTTTTCTTTGAATTGACTAAGCATTAAATTCATAGTTGCCTCTTGCCTTTCTATCTACTTGGGCTATTAGCTTTTGTTTTTCACAGGCAACCTGACAAATCACATTTCAAGAATAACAGAAATGCTCTTGAATTACACTGAGTTCACACAGCAAAAGTTGACTGGCAAATCTTCAAGATACAGTTCCCCTTCTCCACCTTTACAAATGTCAAGGTCACATTTTACAAACTGCAACAAAAACAATGCTCTTTTCCTAATGTCATTTCTTTAACATAAAATGTAAGAAGAAAAAAAATTCTTTAAAGCACGGAGATTGGGTGAGGGAGTCAAAGATTCTTAATTATATAACCTATTATGCCAACCTATTTGCCCACCATAAATGCAATTACAAGAAGTGTCTAGGTTTCTATGGAAACATTAATAATTTCCATCTATCTTATCAACCTACATCACCTTTCATATTATTTTTAAGGCTTTTAGCTTTGTAATTATATCCCTGAAAGTAAGCTGAAGGCAGAAAAGGCAACTCAAGATTATGACATTTCAATTTTAAAATGTTAAAAAGAAAACACAAAAACAGTACACAGCTTCAAGGCTATGGCTACAGAATCAGAAGGTGAAAACAGTTTAGGAAAGCAATTCTATCTGCCAAGTCAGAGGGCACTAGTGTTTGCATGGAAAAAATAGTACAAGCATTTCTCAGAAAACTTTATATATATTATGAGCCTCTGACATTTTTCATTTACAATTTCTGGCTCTCTAGAGGAACAAAAAGGGTTCACGATAATTCTTTATTCAGCTTGGAGATGAAAAACATTTCAAAATACATGCATACAAGAAAATGTATAAAGTAATCCTATTGCCATTTATTGAATCTTTACTTATACACCAAGCATCAGCTTGATGCTCTGAATTACTGCAAAGTAGCTGTAATTGTCCCCCAAAAGTGATTATTTTACTCTATTACAAAAACCACAAGAGTCAGAACAAGAGAACTTCTACTGAGAACATCCGGGTTAATAAACCCCTAGTTCTGCACAATGTGTGCTTTTGTGACAGCCAGTAGAAAGGAATGTAGCATAATTTCAAAGGGCAAACCATAACACTCCCACCACAGAGCCTGAAAGTTCAAAAAATACCTTGAGTCTCACATCTCAGTTGAGACTGCTTACAAATTTCCTTCTGAATAATCCAAGATGCCCCCCCCACCCCCATCCGAAGTAGCTACTAGCTTCTCTGGAAAAAATAAGTTGGTCCCAGCATGCATGGGAAAGGGTGAAGTTTTTTTTTTTTAATTTATTATCATTTCAAAAACTGAAGAAAACAAAATTTAAAAAACCCTACAGACCAAGGAGATTGTCTGAACTTGGTCAGCTCTAGAAGTCATTTCAGAAAGTGTCCCATACCATCCTCAACAGATGGTCCGATGGAACAGTACAAGCCAGCACTTTTAGGAAACCCAGTAGTGAGAAGCAGATGTGAGCTACGAGATGACCCACAATGGGTAGAATGTACTTTCTTATTCCCTTTAAAAGTAAAGCATGGATGTATGAAGTACCTTGAAAATGTCCTTTTGGATCAACCTGAAAATCTATCCTAAGAAAACAGAAAAAAGGGGCAGGGATTTAGCTCAGTGCTTGTCTGAGCAAGTGCAAGGTCATGAGTTTGATCCCTGGTACAAAAAAAGAAAACAGAAAAAAGAATACAAAATTAGAAGACAGAGAAAAGTTCAATTATAAGGAAGTGACTAATTTATGAAAAACCTACTCTGGATTATAATACTGTATTTCAAAATGTGACACAAAACTGTACTCTCAGAATGAGTTCAGCTATATTCCAGTATCTATACACATGAAAAAACATATTATGGTCTGTTTTCTCCAAGTGATTATGTACAAGTGTGGCCAATATGGCCAATTTTTCTACACTGTAATTTTCTTGCTAAAATATAGTTTTAAAAAGAATCACATGGGGTGTGCTCAGAGAAGGTGGTCTGAAGAATGGCTTCTCTGTTTACAACACTTAACAGGAATCTAGGATCACTGTGACAAAAGGCACAAAACTTGTGATTTCTCTTTGGTGCAAATGTCCAAACATGCACTCCATAAGCTTCCACATAAGCTTCTGGATAGTGATAATGTGACAAGGCTCAGTAATGGGGGAAAGCTATAGCATTTGTGGGGGAGATGGACATTTTGAGTGTATCCATACGTAATTTATTGGTAGCCCTAAAAGCAAAGACTTTGAATTTCTGATAAGTTTTTAAAAATAATAATAAAAAAGAACCATATACATTGTAAAAATACTTAAAATGATTTGTCTAAATTCTACAACCACTCATTTCAACATGAAGGAAAAAATTCCAGTCATTTCCTAAATGATTTTAGGGTTTTTTGTTGTTGTTGTTGTTGTTTAGGTATTTTTTGTTTGGTATCAGGAATTGAACTCATGACCTCAGGCCTGACAGGCAGGCGTTGTACCATTGAACCATTTGCTCAGCCCCCTAAATGATCTTTAAGTTAATATCTTACGAGTTATAGGATTTGGGGCACTAATCTTTCTGGCTTACTATGTTAGTCAATAAGGCCAAAAGCTCAGTCCCTTCTCCTCACTTCAGAAATCCACTGTGGGATGGCAGATATTTTTAATCTTTCACCTCAGGCTCTTCTAAATCTGAAGTAAAGCTAGTTAATCATACCTATGAAATAATTAGGAAATGTTAGGTCTATCAAACTAGGGGAAGTGGCATGTGCTTGGAATCCCAGATCTTTAGGAAGCTGAAGCAGGAGGATCATTTAAACCCAGGAAAGGAGTTCAAGACCAGTCTGGGCAGCACAGTACTATCTGATCTCAAAAAAGACTACTAAAATCTAATGAATTAAAACAGAAGGGCAACAACCAATAATATGTTTAAAGCACTGTAGAAAATCTTAAGGATACTCCCCACAAATAGGATAGAGACAAAACAGACTCTAAGGGATAGAAAGAAAACATATATATATAGACATTATCAACAGTATTCAGTAAATATATTTTTTGGATGGTCTTACACACTGTTAGCAAACATTTTTTCCCCAAAGCAGTCACAAAAAGGGTGAAAATTCTAAAATTCACCAGCCTCTCCCAAATCCCCATTCCAGTTAATCTAATCGATCACCAGAATATTTTCATTCTCTCAAATGTCTACAGTTCTAGTCTGAGCCTTCTAGTCACCCAGAATCCTTGATTTAAAATCTATTCTCTGGGGCTGGGGATTTAGCTCAGTGGCATAAGCACCTGCCTTGAAGCAGGCAGTCGTGAGTTCGATCCCCAGAACCGATAAAAAGTTAAAAAAGAAAAAAAAACTATTCTCTGCCACCTACCTCTCCTTTCTCATGTCCTGAAATTTAGATTCCTTAATCCACTAACAAATCCTGTTGGTTAGATAGCCATGAATTTCAGGTCAGCTCAAGGTCTGTCTGAACTACATAGCAAGATCCTGTCTCAAAATAAAAAATGAACAATTTTAAAATGCTGTTGGCTGCCCCTTTTCAATTCATTAGTATGGCATACATGGCCTTAAATTACAGAAATAAATCCAAAATGTGAAAAATCTACTTTTCACAACTAACTATAACCCAACACACTCTGAAGCTTGAAAAGCAATATATATATATATATATATATATATATACACTGCATTTTTCCAAGCTCTCATTATATAGAAATAAAAATATGCCTACTTTAATGTTAAGCAACCTCCTAATACTATACTAAAATATTAATAAAGTGATACACTAACATCTGAAAACTAGCCTTTCTCTGGCACTAATAAGCTATCTGTGTCGTGCTAGGTGATCCACCTCCATTTTCTCTGCAGTTAAAAGAGACCAATTTTCTTGGTATTACTTTCAGCACTAAAGTCCACAAGATTATCAAAAGTTGTAGTCATGTATATTAGAGGTCACAGATCACATAGTGCTAACATTTGACAGATCTGAGTTATAAGGCACCAAGATTCTCAGTGATATTCCTGAACTAGAAGGACAAACTATAAACCACCCCTCAAGTTTTTTTTACCCCTCAATGTTTTTTTAATCCCTCAACTTTTTTATCCAGTATTTACTCAATGAAAAACCACCTGAAGAATATAACATTGTCTCGCCTCCCTGGTAAGCGGCTGTGGCCACCCCAGGGAAAGAACCACCAGTGTCTCCTGAGATCCGTGCCATGTTGGAACTCAGGGCGCTGGGATACCAAGCAAGCAGCTCACCTCCCTGCTAAGTGGCTGCAGTGTGGCAGGCTGCGGCCACCCCAGGGAAAGAACCACTGTCTCCTGAGATCTGTACCACATTGGAACTTAGGAAGTTGGGAAACCAAGCAACCAGCCTGCCTCCCTGCTAAGCAATACTGAGCCTACTGGTGCATGGGCTGAGAGTCAAACATCCCACTTCCCCTGCCGTCCTTTAGTAAATGGGAACCAGAGATCTGAACATCTCTTGGGAAGTTGACCATATGCAATATAGCAAATAAGGAAATAAAGAAAAAAAAAAACAGAAAAAGGGTACAAGTAATACAAAACTTAAAAAACAAACAGTAAGAAATCACTAGTTAACAGATTACACATTCCCATCCCAGAAATAGCAGCCATTCAAACCACAAAACCAAAGCATACAAAGTGGACCCTCAAACAGTGAGACTGCAAACAGTTTTATTCAAGGATCCAACAAAACTCAGCAATATGGTTATCCATCCCACACACTCAAACATATATGCAGTTATAACCTTTACAACACTTTCTTTTCTTTTGTACAATGACAATTTCACATTTTGGGTTTTATTACTCCCACAGTTCTTATTACTTTTTTTGAATAGAGTAAAACCAAATGCAACATATCAGAACAGAGTCAGTCAAATCAAAAGGATGGACATAATAGATAATGTAAAAACAAAATAGAAGGTGATCAACAATGCCTCTTGCTATCTTAAGAACTGCCTATATCATCAGTTATAATAAAATTGAACAAAACAGTAAAGAATAAAACCAAAACATTGGAGACATTACAGGACTTTTAAAGAAGATAATAGTCAACCAGAATGGGCATCATAATCTTATTGTCTTCACAGTTGTTGCCTATACTTTCGAACTTGGTACTATCAAGCTAAGCAGAATAGGGGAAAATCAATCAAAACAAGATGGTGAGGGCAATACAGGGTTTCAAATCAAGTTAATAGGAAATCAAAGTAGGTTACTCTAATGTATCCTGCTATTTTTTATTTTTACCTTAATTAAAAAGAAAAAAATAAAAAAGTAAATAATTAAAAAAGGAGATTGAGATAAAAGAGGGCATAACAACAAAACAGCACAGATCAAAACATAACCATTTAAGCAAAATAGTGTTTCACAACCAGATATCCTGACATAAAAGTAGTTACCATAGTGTCTCTTTCCTTGGAATCTTTGAGTATAACTTCGTATACTCTAGCACCAAACAAATCCAGACAATGTAAAACCATTCAAGAGAATGACATTATTACAGGGTATTTACAGCCAACAGAAAATGAACAACGGTTTCTGTATAATGTCCTTGTCTATAAAAGTTTTTGCTTATATTATCACATATAATAAAATACAATAAGATACAACCTGTTAAGACCAATGGAGACAGAAGAATAAAAGCTTGATGGGACTTCAAAGCACTAGCTATTATGATGTCTTGTTTTCTCCAAAATAGCTGTTCCTACCTTCCAATCTTCTCTACCTCATTTCTGTTGAGCTCTTTTTCTGTCATTTGTTGTCAATTTGTCTTCATTGTGGCCTCTCTGCTACTATTTCTGGAATCTTGGTATTTTCCTTTTTTAGAATATCCTGAAGTATTCTCTGCAGAGTTGAATTGGTGGTTGCAAATTCCCCTAATCCCTCTTTACCCTGGAAGCACTTTGTTTTTCCATTAATTTCCAGGGACAGTTGTGCAGGATATATCAATCTTGGCTGGAGGTTATTATCTTTCAAAGCTTGAATTATTTCCCCCCACGCTCTTCGTTATTTGATGGTTTGTGCCAAGAAGTCTGCTGTAATTCTGATGGGTGTTCCCTTGTAAGTGATCTGTTTCTTGTCTCTGATGGCTTTTAATATTCTGTTCTTATATTGGATTTCTGGAATTTTGATTATTATATGCCTGGGTGTAGTTCTGTTTGGATTGTAGGTGGCTGGGGTCCTGTATGCCTCATACATCTGAGTATCTTTACCTTTTGCTAAATTAGGGAAATTCTCTTGGATTATTTCTGTGAATAGCTTTTGTAGTCCATTTGTTTGTGTCCCTACTTCTTCTTTTATGTTCTTAATTCTTAAGCTATAGATCCTGTTATCATCTTCTAGCCTTTGTATTCTTGCTGTTTTTTTGTTATTTTTAAGAAATTTTTCATTTCATGCTCCCACATTACAAATCTGCCCTCCAGTTCAGATCATCTACCCTTAGTTTCTTTCAAGCTGTTATGCCAGCTTTCAATAGAGTTTTTAGTTTCCTGGTAATCTCTTTGAACCTGCTTCACATAATCTATGTTTTCTCTATTTTCTCCATCAAACAATTTTCCCCTTTCTGTTCTTCCATTCCACCATCTGTTTTTTCTTGGGTGGTGCTTAGCATTTCTCTAACTATTCTACTTATATCTTGCTTTAGGTCGTTAATAACTTCATTATTTTTTTTTGTCTTTTTCCTTTTTATTGGTACCAGGGATCGAACTCACGACTAATAACTTCATTTTTGAACTGTCTATGAGGCTCTGGAGATATCGCTTTATGTCTATTGGTGCCATGTCTGATACTGCATGTTTCTCAGGATTGGGGGCCAAGGACCCTTTCTTGTTGCTCCCTCTTCCCATATTTTTTGTTCCTTCCATACAAGCGTATATAGGAGGCCCAGTTTCTTTCTTTGTCAGTTACAGTTTGCTTGAATTGCGCCGGCTAGGTGTTCCCGCCCACTGCAGTGTACTAGGGAGACACAGACCTGGGCAGCCTATGCTTGGCCCGCCCCTCCAGGGCAACCTACTGAAGGCTTCACTGCTAGGATGCACCTCCAGGTGCTGGGTCCTGGTTTGGACTAGCCTACTGGGTCTTAA